GGTGCTGAAAGTCAAATCCTTGGCTTAGAAGGTGCTTAAACGAAGCACCCATATAGCTAATAAGACACTATTGTATGTCTGTTGCACCTGGTTTTAGAAACTTGGAGATAAATTTAAATACAAAATAAATATCTAAAGTCTGCAAGTCCCTGATATAGAATCCTGCATGTATAATTTAACAATTTGTGTAAAAGAGAGTGAGAGATAACTTTAACACATAGCACATGTGTAGCTTTAAAAATATGTTTAAATCTACTCCATTATATGTTAGCTAATCACTAGAGAATACAGTTCCACATCCTACCTGCATAATCAGAACTCAATAATCCATAGCCAACTCATTTTAAAAGCAAACAAACAGGAAGTTCTATAGCACTGCATTAAAATTTCATTACAGCAGTGTGTCAAAGATTGACACAGTACCTTACCTGGTTTTTGTTATTAGCAGTTTCAGAGATCCATGATTATCAGTCTGTGTTAATACCTGTCCTGCTGTCTTTTTGCTACTGCAGTAACAGATGGAATCTGAATCCCCACATATTTCAAACAAAGCTGAAAAGACAAATAATGTCCAAAAGTTTTCCTGCCTGTTCCCCTATTCTGTTTGGCCAAAGTGTCAGCTTGAAGTTGTACAATCTAAGTTGTAATGGCATCAAAGTTCAGAAAAGGAGTTTGTGGGGGGGAGAAATTCATATGGTCTGTTGCTAATAAAAAGAGACTACCCACATCACCACTCCATAGAGAATAAAGATTACAAATTCATTATTTTTTACATGTCCATGGAGGTTTTCAGTCATCCAGGTCATGGCTGTCCCTATGATGCTTTTTCAAGAGGCAGTGCTGAAGAAGTGTCTTAGATAAGAAAGGAAACCTGTTCAAAGAAAAAACAGAAAGCTCTTGTCAGCCTCGGTTTCGCTTGCTTGCTTTCGGCTGCCATGAAAATGGGGGGGTGGGGCATGGTATTTGGGATGGAAGTAATTGCTACAGGAGGTTTAGGAAAAAAGGGAGTTCTGTCTTCACCATCTTCTGTGCATGATGATGGCTGATGTTTGGACCTGGTCAAGGCCAACCGTCCTGCATACCAACCTGAAGATGCTTCTTGGAGATGCAACCCACATGACACCTAAGGGAGTTGCAGAATTGGGCATGGGGTGGGGGTTGTTGGAGGGAGGGGGCTGGGCAAATGTTTGATATGTATGATTTCACGTTTTTCTGCCTCAGACCTTGCTTTACTTCACTGCTATCTTTTCATAACCAGTAAAAGTACTTTTAATTCCACAAACAATGGAGTTGAGAGATTTCTTTCTTGGTTGCTCAAGGAGGCGTGCTTGACAGCTCTGAAGAATTTTCTTGGATAAGAAGGGAAACCTCTTCAAATAAAGTCCAGCTTCCTCTTGAAAAAGCGCCTTTGGGGCATTCATTTGTACATTTTTGGAAGCCCAGAAACTTCAGCTGCTGAAGAGACATCTTCAAGCTTGCTTCCTGTAAAACAGTATTTCTCAACTTTGGCAGATGTGTAGACTTCAAGTTCCAGATTTGTTATTGTCAAGGCTGAAAAACACTGCTGTGGGATGAAATTTCACAGAATTCCCAAAATCTAGAATGTCACTGTTAGTATTTCTCAGGTGCCCATGAGAAATTGAGGTCTTCAGTAGCATTTTATCAGTTTCAGATCTAAATGAAACTTCAGTCCTTCCCATGCGAATGACATGGACAAGTAGAGAACTACCCAAGACTTTAAATCAAAGGGCTCAGTCCTAGCCTGGAAAACTAATGTGGAAGAGGGGAAACCATTTGCCTGGAGATTATTTTTCTTGGCGTTCTATATTATTTATGGTTTCCCTTCTCCTCTTGCTTACCAGATCACAGAATTGATAAAAAATCATTTCCAGTCCTTAAGATCTATAGATCATCAAGTTGCTTCCAACTTATTACTTTGCTTTCCAATAGAATTCAAGCAACTTAAACTCTGAGTTGCTAAAAAGTAAGATTCTGCAAAATATTGTTTTTAATTACCTTTATCAAACTTAAATTGGAATTTGTGTGTTAAGATTGCCCATAAAGTTGTTACTTTCCCCACTTGAATTATATAATATTATAAAGATCTGTAATAAGCTTCAAAAGCATCTTGGTTTTGTGTGATACATGCTGGCTAAATATGTCAAGATGTGCCATTAGCAAAGGCCAAATATTTTCTTATGACATGTATGTCAGATTATGGTCTAAGTTTAGTCACAGGTCTGAAAACCCATGCCTTAACAGAGTAATGAAATTAAAAGTGTAACCCACATTGTTACATCTGTGGTAAAGTTGTCCCATTTTGGGGGGGAGCCTTTATACATGCATTTGGGCTTTTGTCTCATTATGAGCTTGATATTGTATGTTACAGTTATTTTGTGGCAGAAACTAATAATTCATTACAGTCAGGCTGAGCATGGGCGCCAGTGTGTGGAATAAAGCAATTGACACTGCACTTGATTTATACCTTCAGCTAAGCTAATTAAGCAATAATTCAGGAAAAATCCATCATTATGACAGCTTTGTTGATCAACCACTCCAAGCAAAGTCAAAGGTGTTTAGTATCCCGAGGTTTAAAAAAAACTAGGTCAATAATGATTGCAACTAATATTGGGATATACAGCATAACAGGACAATTCTATTTTATATATGTTTTTGAACTCATAGGCACAAGACACTAATAATAATAATAATAATAATAATAATAATAATAATAATAATAATAACAACAACAACAACAAC